TCAACTTACAAACATTCTTGACCTTTGTTTTACCTCTAACCCCTCACACTATTTATACTCAATTTCTGCCCCCTTAGGGTCTTCTGATCACAATCTCATTTCTATTCAATCAAACCGGGCATGACCACCTCCCCCATCCCCCTCTAAACGCCATCTATGGCACTATCGGAGGGCAAACTGGCAATCCTTGTGAGAATTCTTCTCTCACTTTCCTTGGGATGAATATTACTCTTCCATTCGGGATGCCTTGGTATGTGATGGGTTATACAGGGTGGTATGAGTGCATATATCCCATCTACCAAAACTTTCATGGTAGGGCCAAGCGGAATTTTATAAAAAGAAAGACCGTTGTCCTGACTAACTCTTCCTCTACTAAATCCTTCTGGTCCTTAACCAAAAACGTCTGTAATAACTTCTGCACTCCCTCTTTTCCTCCTCTCTTCTGACCTGACAACTCTATAGCCAACTCTCCCCCTGATAAAGCCAATCTCTTTGGCACCTTATTCTCGTCTAATTCCACCTTAGACAATTTCAATTCTATCCCTCTTATGGTTTCTCTCTCCTCCTTTAGTTGACATTATTTCTTCCCTTTCTGTTTGCCGCAATGTTGCTTCACTCTCTCTCTTTTACAGTTACTTCAACGGGCAATGGTTGGTGGATTTGGCATCCTGTGTACCGCCGGCAAGGCCGTGGGCTCGTAATGCACGTCTTGCCCGCGCTGCCCACCGTTTCTCTGTGGATGTCAGTCACACTAGAATAACCCGTTATAGTACATCCTTCTTTCTTCACACATCCTTTTTTGTGTGTTTCCATACTCAAACAAACTGTCTCACTTCAAAAAAATGGTTTTCCAGTATCTTCGTGGTGTAGATTAATATAATCTTTTCTTTTCTTTTTTTACTTTCTTTTGCTCCTATTTTTTCGCCCCCTAGGCCCCGTTGTGGTTCGATGACCTGTGCCAGGGTGGGCTATTCCCCGTAAAAAAAAAAAATCGCCAATGCTTTTTGTATATATGTTTACAGCTTGAGTTTTCTTCTCAGGTGACAAACAGTTCATCGGACACAAAGGCAACAATCAACACAGTGTTTGACAGTTTTATTGCTGCTGTGAATGAAAGTGTAAATAAGAGGCGCCAAAACCTCTTGGATGAAGTGCAGGAGGTAAGCAAGCCTGAAACTGAAATGGATAATCTTTCAAGAGGATAGTGAATGTAAAATATTTTTTTACAAAGGGGTAGTAAATATAATTAACATATTGTCTTGCAAAACAGGTTGGTTAAGTGAAAAATATTTTCTAACATAGGGGTTGTAAGTTTAAATTTTTTTTTTACAAAGATGTGAATGTAAATTATTATTATAAATGCAATTTAGTCTTTACATTGTCCAGATTTGCCCTCTTTTAGATCACTTTATAAATGTTCCACTTGTACTGTACAGAACAAGTCTACAAGTCATCACATGTTTTATTTATGTATCTGATTTGACTCGGTGAATCCATTCTTTTTATGAGTCGACATTGTACTTACCCCATAATGATATGACTTTCCTGAAAGGTTACCAGGATGCCATTTCATTATTTTCACCATTAAATGCATAACCTGTGCCATGAACTGGCTGTGAAAAGTCCACATTTAAGGATATACTATGGGTATTGTGGCTTAAATCTCACGTGAAGGAATTAAGAGAAAATATTGACAAAATACTGAACTGTAAACTGCATGAATAGAAATGACGTAGGGTTCACATATGTCTTGAAAAATAGTATTTGAAGGTGTTGCAGGTATTATTGTACCAAAGTGTTGCAGCAGTAATGAGTCTTAGTAACTATAATGCTTCTTGGCAATCATGACTCACTATTTGTCTCCCTGGTGTAGGTTGAAGAAGAGGCCCGTGGCCCCTTAGACCAGTGTGGGTGTGTGTTGGAGACTCGGGTAAGGGAAGCTGCAGAGAGAATAGAGCAGGGAAAGCGACTTCAGAAACATGGAGGTGTCATGGCTAAGGACACAGTTATTAGATTTCAGGAGGAGGCAGCAGCTATGACCAGGTACAGTAGAGGACAATGTTGCTCGTCAAATACTTACTGTAAGTTGAAGAGTTTGAGATGTTGAATTTAGCTTTTGTCATTTAACCATTTTTGAAGTTCATAAAAAGCTTTGTTGTTTAAGATGACAAAACTTTTCATCTCCTCTAAATGGTTACAGTACTGAGTTTGTACAGTCACCAACAAAAGTCCTGTTGCCTCTGCTGCTCCACAAATCCGAGATTCTGGCTCATGAACCCAAAGCAGTAGACGCTGATACATTTTTCTGTTCATAAATGCTTCCAATTCATGATTCTGAATCCCGGGGTTTGTGGAGCAGCAGAAGATGCGACAGGACTTTTGTATGCAACTGTACAGGAGTAATTAACAGGTCACCAAGTCACCAAACTGAGAGAAAATACAGTATTGTATGTGGAAGGAAATGACAGACAGTTGAAATATTAACCAAAGAAATTCTGTAAGTCTTTGAAAAGAAAAAAGTGGAATGTTAAAATTGCAAAATAAAGATACTGTACCCTTGTATTGGTCTGAGTGCCCTCACATTTATGTAATTATACTATTAATGTAGCTACAGTTACTTATTTACTCTCAATTTTGTGTTTTATATCAAACTGTAAATATAGTTTTCCTTTTACATATTTATCATAAATCTTGGTACAATACAGTACACAATGTTTTCTTGTTTGAAGTTTTTTGTTTTCCATGTATATACAAATTCTTATGAGTTTTGCTATTAAATTACTTTTTTAATATTTATAATTGATTTAAAGGTAATGCAGATTGTACAGTAGCTTACAGCAGTGTTTTTTGTGGTAGTTTGCCTGAGGTTCCGGCTCTGTGTGCAGTACCTAGTGTTAGTGTTGAGTTCCCCGGTGAACCATCATTGATTGAAGAAGTGCAGGACCTGATTGATCAGGCAGGTCGGGTCTCAAGGATGGGTCCTGTGCAGATCACCAACATAGTGGAGCAGCCAGGTGCACTACTTGTATCCTGGGAGGAGGTCAGTTGGTCTCAGGTTCATACTAAGTCTAAGGACTGAAAAAATTTTCACTATCATGCTGTTTATCACTTTATCTCCCCTTAATTTCGTTTTTTCTTCCTCTACCACTTTTATCTGCCTTCTCATCCACTTTTACTTCCCATTTATGGTTTTTATGTCTTTTCATGTCTTTCTCTTAACTTCCTCCTGAAGCAATACAACAGTCTTTCAAAATCTCCTTCCCGCTACAGCCAATACCCAACTTGTACAGTACAGTACAGTACAGTACAGTATTTTTAACTTAACCACCCAAGATAATATAAATACTGTACAGTATTACTGTACTTTTGTTTGAATTTACTGCCACTAGCACTCATGGAAGTTATATTTGCACTTATTTTTACAAAAATTATGGAGGAAATTTATAAAGCTTGGGAGGCAGTTACCCAATAAGTAATAGTAAGATACTAACTGACTTTTGTGCAAGTAATGTGGTTGTAGAGTACTGGAACCGTCTCACCTACTGGAAATGAGCTCCAGTTAATGAGGTTGCAGTGAGGATTTATTGTGTTTATTAGTTGTATTTGAAGATTACAGGAGTTCACAATACTGACATATACCGGTAGAATGAGAGTGGCATTTTTGACTGAAAAGAAATATTTAACATTATCATATACACTATACACGAGGTGGCTGACGGGAAGTGATCTTTGCTGAAGTGTCTCACACCCCTCCACACCAGCCAGCTGGGGCTGAGGCAGGCATTGTAAGTCTGGCAGCGAAGGGAGACTCAACGACAAGTCAGCCAGCAATCAAAATGTAAATTTTGTGAATGATGATGTATAACTATTCCCCCCAAACATTACCTTTATTTATTGCCACAATGCTCGTTGATTCTTTGTTTTTACCACAATGGGCAAGAGGAAAGATTCAACAAAAGAGCAGATAGTGCCAATTATTAGTCTGCATAAGGGCAAGAAACCTGTAAAGGAAGTATCAAGAATTGTTGGTGTGAGTGAACGATCAGTTCAGATTTGGATTAAACAATTTCAAGATGACGGCAGGTTGGCAATACCAGTGCACAACGGACAGCCAGGGAAGACTCGAAAAACTTCGCAACGCACGTTAACTGTTCTTAAGAGGCAACTTGATGCTAATCCACGTCTGTCAGCACGGGAATTGAAAGAATAAACCCTGTACCTCTAGGTGATGTTTCTGTAAGGACCGTTCACTGCCACATCCGTGACGACCGGCAGTTTCGCAGCCACCGCGAACGCAAAAAGCCACTCCTCACCCTTGTCCAGCGGCAGCGTAGGGTCGCTTTTGCCAAGGCTAACGCTCAGTGTGATACGACCAAGTGGCAGCACGTGCTGTGGAGTGACGAGGCAACGTTTTCTTTTACTGGAAGTCTTACTTTTAATGTTCACAGGTGCCCCTGGAGTGATTCGCTTGACCCCAAGTTCACTTTTAGTACAGTTAAGCATACTCAGTTCACTAATGGTATGGGGTTGCTTCTCGTACTTTGGAACTGGTGATCTTGTGCTACCTAGGAATGTGATGATGAACCAATTTAACTACTTGGGGCTGTTTTATGATTATTTGCCCGGGTCTTTTGAAAAATGCCGCGCTGATGTGTTTATGCAGGATGGTACCTCTTGTCACACAGCAAAATATGTAATACAATGGCTTGTTGACTGTCTGGTAGACTTCATAAGTGATTGGCCAAGCAATTTGCCTGACCTTAAACCAATAGAAAATAAGTGGATCATTATCAAGTTTCGTCTACAAGGCAAGAACACAAATACCGTCCCCAAGCTGGAGGCAGCCATTCGTGAGGAGTGGAATTATTAAGACCCACAAATAATCCACAACTTGGCAGAGTCAGTTCCTTCATGCCTGCAGGATTGTATCAGGAGAAAAGGGAGGCCTATAGACTACCGGAAGTTTGTTAACTTTTCAGATTATTTTTTTATTATTATTTCATCTTGTTTATGTCCATCACTTCCCCGCGCATAATGCAATGGCGAGGAGTGTATGTATATACTGTACAGTCTCTCCTCGACTTATGGCGGGGTTCTGTCCCGACGACCAGGTCGTAAGTCGAAAAGGCTTGCCAGCCATTTTAATGGGAATTACAAACAAAAATTTTGTCACTACACAGCGCAATCACTAACGTCGGGACTCGAAAATACATAATGTGAAAAATATTTTATATACCATGGCCGTCGTATGTCCGGGTTGTCGTAAGTCGAGAAGAGACTTTATATACAGTGGTCCCTCGGTTAACGAGATTTCAGTTAACGAGCTGCCTCCCATTAGATTCTTAAATTCGGTTAACGAGTTTCTTACGAGCCGACCTCGACAAGTTTTGGCTTGCACTGGGCGATCAACCAGCTGTAGTATTAGTCCGCCAATACATTAATCGGTTCTAGGGCTTAAATTCCTTACTATTTTAGTATACAGTATATCAAGAAGTTTATACTATTCAATAATTTTTAAAGTTTAATATTAAATTTTTTAGTCATTTTAACAATTATTGAACATAATTGAAGGTAAAGTGACTAGTTTAATGCGCGGCATCCAGCCTCTTAACACAGCAAACAGGCGTTAGTCTCTCTCTGTTTTCACTGAGGTAACATCTTGCTTGAGACTCTCTTCAACTAAATGCTTTTTTCTGTGTTTCCAAGCAAATTATTGGTCATTTTGAAATTTATTTTACATATTGACAATATATAGCTCAGTGCAGTGTTATTTTAAAGAAAATATTCTTTATTTACAACAAGTTTAACTTTGAAAAGCATGTGTTGACATTGTTTGAATCCAGCATGGGGCCTAAGAGATCAAGAAAAGCGATTTCAATCCAAACCAAGCAGGAAATCATAAAAAAACATGAACAAGGCATTAGAACAAATGCGCTATGCAAAGAATATGGCATGTCGACATCAACTGTGTCGACAATTCTTGCACAGAAAAAAAAATTTAAAGAAGTGAAAGTGAGAGACAAATCTACAAGTGTGTTTAAAAGTAGATCCCTAATTGCAGAAACTGAGAGGTTACTTATCATCTGGATTAGGGAAAAACAGATGAAAGGTGATTCAGTTTCTACTGAATTCATTTGTGAAAGAGCCAGGGAGATTTACGAACATTTAAAGACAGATCAACCTGGTTCTTCAGGCACAGAATTTGAAGATTTTCGGGCCAGCAAAGGCTGGTTCGAAAATTTTAAGAAAAGAAGTGACATTTTCAGTGTTGTTAGGCATGGTGAAGCTGCTAGTGCTGATAAGGAAGGGGCAGCAAAGTTTTAGATGAATTTAAAAAACTGACGGAAGAAGAAAATTATCTTCCACAGCAAGTGTTCAATGTGGACGAAACTGGGCTGTTCTGGAAAAAGATGCCCAAAAGAACATTCATCACCAGAGATGAAGCCTCTTTACCTGGGCATAAACCCATGAAAGACCGTCTCACTCTACTGCTTGGTGCCAATGCTTCAGGGGATTTCCGACTGAAGCCTATGCTTGTCTACCACTCTGAAAACCCCAGGGTGTTCAAGCAACAGAAAGTGGTAAGAACAATGCTTGGAGTTTATTGGAAGTCCAACCGTAAGGCATGGGTGACAAGACAGTTCTTTAATGAATGGGCTGTTGATGTGTTTTGCCCCTCTGTCAAGAGCTACCTAACCACCAATAAACTCCCTTTAAAGGCTCTTCTCCTCATGGATAATGCTCCTGGTCATGACCCTGACCTTGCCAGAAATTTGGAGTCTCAATTTGACTTTGTCAAAGTGTTGTTTTTGCCTCCAAACACTACATCAATCATACAGCCAATGGACCAGAATGTGATCAGCAACTTCAAGAAGTTGTATATGAAGAAAATGTTTAAGAGGTGTCATCAGGCAACTTCCAATGATCCTGAACTAACACTGAAACATTTCTGGAAGGCACAATTCAACATCCTGGAGGCTGTAAAATGGATTGTGTCATCATGGCAAGAAGTCTCCACTAGATCCCTCAATTCTTCATGGAAAGCACTGTGGCCATCAGTAGTCCATGATTTTGAGGGATTTGAGGAAGAAACAGAGATGGACCAGGAGATTGTGTCCATTGGTCAGTCATTGGGCCTTGAAGTGGAGGAGGAGGATGTGGAAGAGCTTGTGATGTCCCATGAGGAGGAACTTACTCCTGATGACTTGAAGCAACTGGATGAGATGTTACAGGTAGAGGCTGACAGTGGTGAGGAGGAAATTGAAAGTGATGACCATATGTCAGCTAAACAGTTGAAAGATGTGATTTACCACTGGGAGAAGTTCAGGGAACTGGCTTCAAAGCACCCGGAAGTGGAAAAAACTGAACTAACTTTGTGTCATGTTGAGGACTCAGTGGTCTCCTTCTTTAAACATAAGTTAATGGTGAGGAGGACAGATGGCCCCACAGACCACAATTGACACTTTCTTCAGTAAAAGGCAGAGGGAACAAGATGCTATCCCTCAGCCTTCCACTTCAAGAAGGAGAGAGGATGTTCATGGTGGAGAATCTGTCAGTCCAGAGGTTCCTGACATTTTCATGGAAGGTGACTCACCTTCCAAGAAGCAGTAAAATGCTTCTCCTCAACCCCCACTTCCTTCTCTTCTCCCTTCTTCTCCTCCACCTCCCACTTCAAATTCACATCATCATCATCATCATCCAGGAGCCTTCTACATACACACCTCAAAGTAAGTGAACTTTTCTACCTTTTTTGTTGAATTTAGGCAATTTTCGGTGAGCTGGAACCAATTACCCAAAAACCCATTGAAACAATGGTTTCGGTTAACGAGCAACCTGCTGGAGCGGATTGTGCTCGTTAACCAAGGGACCACTGTAATCGGTTTTAGGGCATAAATTCCTTACCATTTTAGTGAATATCAAGAAGGTTGTACTATTCAAAAATTTTAAAAGTTTTATATAATTTTTTTAGCCATTTTAACAATTATTGAACTTAATTGAAGTACAGGAAACTAGTTTTTTGCGCGCCAATAAACACTAAAGTAACGTAAATCGATATGTGATCATAAAGCAACATCTGAG